CACACACACACACGCCCAGCATGAGTTTAAGCCACCGGGTCCAGGACTCGAACCGCAGTCGACCACATGGGAGTCCAGCAACATAGCACTTACGCTAACTGCTGGTCCCTTTTTTTTTTTTTAGAGGTTTTTGCCTTAGGGTATGTGTGCTCACAGGAGAGAGACAGAAACAGGTGGGGTTGCGGGGAGCCATGCCGCAATTCCTTCTCCTTTATTCTCCTCTGGAGATTTTGAGCATGCACACACACGCATCTGGCATGAGTTTGGCACCTCCAGGTCCAGGACTCGAACTGCAGACATGAGGAAGTCCAGTGCCTTAATCACCAAGCCACTTGCTGGCCCCCAGCATTTCTGACTGTTGCGATAACAATACTGACTCACAAAAATGTATCTCTTAATCCCAGACTCTCTATCCTTCTTAATTTATTCATCTAGGTTATATCTGGGGAGAGGAGGGAGATAAAGATAATCTCTTCTGAAATGTTTGGGAAACTAGAGAGAAAAGATTATCTGGCAGAATAAACTGCCTGGTACTGAGCTTAAGCAGAAGTCTAGTGTCAAGTCAACTTGCATGCATTGGCCTCTCCTAGTACCACCTAGTGGACAATAAGAAATTAGCACATGGGTTTTGAGGATAAATGGCCTTGTCTAAAATAACTTACTTCCACATCTCCAGAATCTTTCTTATTTACAGGTTATAAGAGAGAAATGCCAAATAATAATAATAATAAATGATAACATGGCCTCAGGAGTAAGAAGGAAAAAAGAGCCAGGGGCTAATTTAGTACAACATAAGCTATAAGTTTCCTTTGGGGAAATAATTAAACTAATACCTTCTACGTCACACATTCCAAATACAGGGACCAGAGGGGACTGAGTAATACTTCAATCCCCCCATATTGACTACATCAGTAGTTTTCAAACTGTGTGTGTGTACATAAAGAGATTTTTTCCTTTCTTCTTTTTTATTTTTAAATTTACCATACGGCGCATCCACTTGCTAAAGAAATAGTAAAAGACAGGGAAAGTGAGAAAGTGCTCTCTATGGGGATGGTCATGCTGCAATCTGTTGTCCTCCATTTCTCTCTTCTCAGGATTTTGAGCATGTATGCACATGTGCCTGGTAGGTTTTTCAAGATGTCGGGGGTCCAAGACAAACTGTGTGGTCAGCCATGTGGGATCCAGTCTTAATCACCATGCTGATTGGCCCCACTAAGTGGTTTCCAAACTTTATATATATCTCATATATACACATATATTACTTTTTTAAATAATTATTTTTTATTTAGCTGTATTTCTTTATGTATTTTTAAAATTTATTTTAATTTGACCAGAGAGGGACAGAGAGCGAGAGACAAAGAAAGCCAACTGCCAGGTCCAGGACTCGAACTGTAGTCAGCCATGTGGGAGTCTAACACCCCTAACCACCACACCACCTGCCTGCACCATTAATTTTTTTTT